CCCCCGCCACGCCCGCCGCGCGGGGCGCCTGCGGCGGGGGCATCGCGCGGCTTGGCGTCAGGACGGACGCGTAGGCTTGTGTCAAGAGGTTGAACGCGAGAAGGTAATCCTGTGCCCGCCATCTCTGAATCATTGCAGGTGTGCTATCTGGGCAGGTATGCCATCTGGCATGAATCTCAACATGCGCATGGAATTTCGATGAGAAGAGCAACGCCAACCTCGCTCACCTTCCTCATGCGGCCGCTGCCCACCGACTGCGGTGGCCAGCTGCCGGGCAATTGACTGTGTCGTCGCCGCCACCGGCGGCAGCCTGGGGGGCGCAGGGGGTGTGGTGGGTTTTGAAGTCGATCCAACTCCGCGGCCGATACCACAGGGCGGCGCGCTTGGCACGTATGCAGGGGATGGGTTGAGTGGAAGCAGCCCCAAGTGTGTGTGGAGCCTGGTCTGCGGGTCTGCGCTCGAAAAGGGTCGCATGTGGGCCCTGCAGAGGCAGCGGGGACTTCTTGCTGTAGTGTGATAAACCTGCTATGTGAAATGGAACCCGCGGCTGTCAGTTGCCCCGCACCTGCCAATCTCAATGGGTGGGCCGTCCTTTGTGCCGCCCTCGCCCAGCAGCTCGTCTCGCCACAGGGCGCAGCACACGGCCACCATGGTCGCCTGAAACAAGGTGTGCACATACCATCGGTGGGATGCGTGCGCGTGTGTGTGGATGTCCCAGAGGGTGAGATAGTGTGTGTCAATCAAACAAGAGCAAGGGGGATTATATGTGTGAGCGCACTGGTGTGTGGGAGGGCTTGTGTGCAAGTTGTGAGGTGAAAGTGGAGATCAAAAGGTATGCATGAGCGATGCGATTCCTATACGACAAGGTTGCTACGCATGCACCCTTCCATTGACAGTTGTCTGCAAGACAGCACAGACACGTGCGTAACCACACGCCAACACCATGCATGAGATTGCACACACACACACACACACACACACACACACACGCATGCATAGCCACCACACACGCGACAATCGGCCCCACCTGCGGGCCCCTGGACCCCTTGAGCTGCGGCGCCACCAGCTTGGTGGCCGGCCCCGGCCTGAACGCAAGCTCGCCGGGGCGCCGCGTCCAGCAGCTCAGGGAGCCGTCCACGTGGGCGCAATACACAAAGTCGATGCCCCCCTCGTCCCCCAGGCCCTGGGCAGAGGGTGTGTGCGGGATGGAAAGTGTCGAAAAATGGGGAGGTTGTGGGGATGGGGAAGCCCCCTGGAAGCAGCGGGTGTGTTGCTTAGGGCTTCTACACGGTGGTTGTGCAGCAAATGACGCGTGTGGTGCGAGCATGCGTGTTGCACGCGTCTTGTGTGTACGTTTGGCACAGTTTACCTGGCGTTCACATTTCGATCTGTGGAGTGTGTTTCCCGTGTTCCGTGTGGTGGAGCATACGTGAGACACCCGGCACCCACCTGCGACACGCCCTCGCCGTACACCCCCAGCAGGTGGCTGAACGGCTGCCGCCCGCCGCCCAGCGCCGACGACGCGGCCGGCTGGCCCAGCTCAAGGTCAAACACCAGCAGCTCCCGCGGCAGCAGCACGACTAACAGGTCGCGGTCGGCGCAGAACCGCGCCTGCAGAGTCAGCGGCGGCAGCTTGTCTGCGCGGTGGGGGGAAGGGTCATGGTGGTGGCATTTTTTGGGTTGGATCTGGGCCCGCGCAGGCTAGGCTGGAGGTGGCAGGCGTGTGGCAGGGTGATCGGCGGTGCTGGTGTTGGCCTCAAAAGGCGTTGGCAGCGCGCGAGGTTGCGCAGGGCAAGTGGACAGGTTCTGAGAGTGCCGGCGGCAACGGGCCGTTGGTCGCGGCGCCAGGACCAGCGGATGTGGCTCAGTGCACAAATAGCCTGGTCCCCTGCCCAAACTCTCCCCGCCTTCCAACCCCAGCCCAACCCATAGCGCCCTGCCCCCACGTCCCCGTCCAGGGGGCATCGCCAGGGAGACCTCTCACCCGCGGCCTGATCCTTCCCGGGCGCCTCTTTGGCTGCCGCCGCCACGTTCACCCTATATTGCCGCTGCTCAACCAGATCCCGCTCCTCGCCGCCTGCAACTGCCGCCGCCCCGCCGCCGCCGCCTCTGCCGTCCCGCCCCACCCCCCTGAGCCGCATCACGAGGAGCGCCCCGGCCTCGCCGCACAGCACGACGCGGCGGCGGTCGAGGGGGTCGCAGCAGATGGAGGTGAACACCTCGGGGGAGGACAGGGGGGCAAGCTCGCGCTTCCAGAGCAGGCCGCCGCCTGAGGGGGTTAAAAGTGTGTCCGGTGGGGGGGGTTTGGGTGTATAAGGTGGAGGGGTGTGGGTGCGTCAGGTGGGGGTTTCAGGTGCGTCAGGTGGGTGCCGCGGGTGAGTCAGGCGCAGGTGCCAGCAGCCGCACTGTGCGAGCGCGCAGGCGGGGCGCAGGCAGCTGAGAAGACACGCAGGCGAGCGCAGGGAGCGCGGAACGCGCCCTCAAAAGCGGCGTGGGGGTGCGTCGACCCCATCAAAGGCGGTCCAGGCGCCCGCCCAGCCGGCGCCGGACGCAGGCCGAGCGTGCCGCGCGGGGGCCCACCTGTGGTGTCCCAAATCAGCAGCAGCGCCGGCGAGACGACCACCGCCAGCGCCCCCGGCTGCGGCAGCACCCAGGCCAGGCCCTCGATGCAGCACTCGCCCCTGGAGGCGGGCGTCGGGTCGGTCGAGGCGGGGGGAGCACGTGAGGGTGTCGCGCTTTGCGGGAAAGCAAAGCCCAGCAGACACAGCATCAGCACACAGTGGCCCGTGTGGACCCCCACGATCCCTGCATCTCGCAGTCCCTGTATCACGTAATCAAACACCGTGTGTCTCCCCTGGCATGCCTGAGCAAGCGGCATGCAACAAATTGCCAAAGGGGATGAAGCCTTACGGGCACCTGCGCCGCCGCAGCTCCCACCGCCGCTGCAGCTCCCACCGCCGCAGCAGCAGCCGCAGCAGCAGCAGCAACAGCAGCGCCGGCCGCTCGCGCACCTGGAGGCCGCCGCGTAGTCGTCGAGCAGCTGCTGGGCAGCCGGCACGTCGTCCAGGCGCGCGATGATGGAGGTGGACAGAACATCCCACAGCACGACGCCGCCGGCGCTGTCGCCCGATGCCAGCCTGATTCGTTTGTTGTTGCATGGTGTGATGGTTTTGAACTTCAAATCGATCAGGACTTATTTTCCAAGCAGCCGGGTCAGGTTTGTGAATAATGCGGAGGGTACATGTCAAGTCAGGATCTGCATGATCAAGAATCATGCAGCCTTCCTGCAGATGCAATGGGGTCAAAGCTTTGCACGTTTCCCGCATCCTGTGGGGACGGCCCCAAAGGGAAAAAGGGAATGCAAGCGAGCAGCGGCAATGAGGGCGCAAGTGGGGGGGCCGCCCCGCACCTGACGTGGCCCGTGGCCCTGAGGTCTCTTGAGTGGCACTCGGGGTACCTGCATAAGGGGTCGGGCCAGGATTGTAAGTGGGGCGAGGGGTGGGAGGTGTTTGACGGGGACTGGCAGGCGCCTGCGGTGCTGCGTGGTGCCTGGATTGAGGTGCATCCAGACCAGCAGCCTCAGGCAGGTTGTTGCTGCTGCCACGGCCAGCAGCAGCAGCAGCAGCAGCAGCAGCAGCAACAGCAGCAGCAGCAGCAACAGCAGCAACAGCAGCAGCAGCAGCAGCAGCGGCGGCGGCGGCACTTGCACGCCGCACCATTTTACAGCGGTCACAGCGGCACCCCGGTGGCCGCCCTGCAGCATGCACGCCGCCTGCAGCCTTGGCAGCTGCGGTGGTGCAGAGTGGGGATATGATTGGACTTTGTGTTGTAGTAGACTCAGCACACACCGCTGCGGTCGCTGCTTGCGCCCGGCGCTGCGCCCGGGGGTGTCCCAGATTGACGGATCTGTTGTCGACTGCCGTGGCTGGGGTTGACGGGCAAGCGGCCTGGTCCGCACACGCCGGTATCTTGACATGTGCAGCCCCAGTCAGTGGTGCTATTTCAATCACTAACCTCCAGCACGGCGACGCTGGAGCATGCACCGATTGCTAGCAATTCGCCCTCCAGCATGTCTGCAGCGCCTCGGTTGAAGCGCCCTGCCGGTGCCGGCAGGTAGCCGAGGATGTCCAGGGCCGCCATGGGTGCTGATCGATTCCTTTTTCACAGGACTGTGCGTTCAAGCAGCTGCATTTCGCGGTGGTGAGAGCAGAGTACTTGGTGACCCTCAAAACATCAACCCGATCTGGACAAAGGCATGAGCATGGTGTTGATATAGCATGACAATTTCTGATAGGGAGACGGTGCGGCTTGGCAGAGCTGGTGCCAGAGGTTCTCACTCTCGATCATTGGGCAGCTTCGCCCTGCATTTCCTCGTCGAGCGAAGCGAGCACCGCCCATTGGCGCGTTATCGTGCGCCTTGGATCGAGTGTTATTATTTGTGGTGTGCCACGTTGCTGTTCGCAGCTACATCTGCGGTCGCCCGATCACATATAAATTAAGCAGGCAGCGGCGGCAAGTATGCTGGCCAAGGCGAGCTCTTCGATGCGTATGACCGGGCTTGCTCCCCGTGTATCGCCTGCAGCGGTGGTCGCGCCCTCTAGGCGGTCTGCCGTGCAAGTGGTGGCAGCAGAGGCGCAGAACAAGAAGCGCACTCCTCAACCTGTGAGTGCCTTTCGATTGGGCAAATCAATGTACTCGATTCTGGTGCGGAGCAGTGGGACCGACAACCCCACATGCGCACGGCCTTGTGTTGGCCGCCTCGCTGCACCTGCCCACACGGCCGATGTCACCATCGTCCCGTGCAACCCTGCCCACACTGCTTTCTCTTCACAGGTGAAGCGGGCGCAGCTGGCAGAGGAGCGGCGTATGAGCAACAAGGGCCGCAAATCGGCCATCGCCACGCGCATCAAGAAGGTGCGGAGGCAATGAGAGCGCGGCGTTGACTTTTCAAATGCGCTCGCAAGACCCGCAGCCGCGATGCCAGCGGTGGCTGCAGTAGCAACGCTGGCGCCAGAACATTTGGGAATGAAATGAATGCGTATTCGCAAGCATGGCGGAGCAGCCGCCCAGCGGGCGCTCGGCCAAAAGGCATCGCCTGTCAGCACACTCCCATGCCGCACCCGGCCGCCCCGTCGGTCGGCGGCGCGCGGCCTTCCGAGCAGCTGCTCACGGCCGCCCTGGCACCGCGCGCATTGGAGTCCCTCAGGTGCTGAAGCTCTCCGAGACTCTGGTCAAGGCTCCCGAGGGGGCAGCCGAGCAGGTGAGCGGTGCCGCACGCCCCGTCCCCGTTCCCCATGCATTGCCAGGAGCGAGGCCAGCCGCAGCTGCGCCGGCTAACCACAGTGCATCATCTTATTGTTTCCTCGCGGGTGTCGACGCCCTCCGAACGCGCGTGGATCCGTCGCCAGGTTGAACTGTGGGCCGTACGTGTTGACTGCTGCTTGACCCAGGTTTCCTCGCTCGGCACCATCCCATGTGCCTGCCCGCCTTCCGCCAGGTCCCCGCGCTGGAGAAGCTGGTGGCTGAGGCGTACAAGGAGATCGACACGGCGGCCGTGAAGGGCGTGATCCACGCCAACACCGCCGCCCGCCGCAAGGCGCGCGTCGCAAGGTACAAGCAGCAGGTGCGTGCGGCGCGTGCGCGGCGGCGGCGGCGGCGGCGGCGCGGCGCGCCGAGGTGGTGGAGTAGGAGGTGGTGGATGGGGTGGCGGAGCAGCCGTGAGGCGCGTGGCGGCGGCGTGGCGGCGGCGTGGCGACGCCTGGCCACCCAACCTGACCGCGGGCCTGATACGAACGCCGCGTGCAACGGAACGGGCATCCTCAGCAGCCTGGCTGGCTTGATGAGGCTGCTGGCACTCTGTCCTGCCCCTGCGATGCCCAACCCGCCCACCCCTCAGCACTGTCGCAACGCTCGCCCTCCCCCTCCTATGTCACGCCCCCAGGTGCTCATCAGCGCGGGCCTCTACACCCCCGCCCCCGAGCAGCCCGGCTTTGCCTTTTACCAGCGTGTGCAGGCAGCCAAGGCTAAGGCCGCCGGCGCCGCCAACTGACCGCGCCGCGCGGTTTGCGCCCTGCGGTTGCAGAGCACAGCGGCACGGCGCTGGCGCCGTGGCGCTGCCCTGTTTCCAGCGGCCCGGCTGGCGCCGCGGCGCGGGGCGTCCGAGCGACTGATAGCATAGCGTGCGTTTGTTTCATTTTTTAGAATAGTAAAGCTGCCATTGCAGTATTGTGTTAAGTTTTTGGATGCGATCTAGGAGCATACGCATATTGCGCGGCACTGTCGCGCGCGGTTGGGGTCACGCTCGCAAGGGCCAAAGCCGAAACGGCAGCGCCAGCGCAGCGGGTGGGCATTTTGGGCGCATAAAGTGCTCACATGGAGCGGGGAACCCCCTCGCCCTGGTACAATAGGAGGAGCCATGCGTTTGAGGGGGGGCTGCGAGGCGGCAGCCAAGTAAAGGGGCCCCAGCTCTAGCTGTTGCGGCGGCGCTGACGTGCACATAAATGTGAAGTGGGAGCGGGGCTGGACGCTGCCGCATACGTGGACACGGTCGCCACAAGAACTCGCGCAGCTGCCAGCAAACGGCAGGCCAAAAAAATAGCCGGCTCCCACGATGGCATTGCGCGTCAACGGCCCCCCGGCGCTCGGTTGGGGAGCTCCCCCACGGCGTACAGCCTGAAGAGGTGGGGGCTCCTGCGGTACAAGGGCTCCCGCTCCATGACTGATATGAGATCTCGAACCCTGATCTCCGACTGCGCCGACCGCGCGTCCGTCGGCCCCGGCGCCGAGGGGGCACCGCCGCCGCCGCCGCCGCCACCGTCGAGCGCCGCTGCTGCTGTGCCGTTGGGGTGCCCGTTCGCTACCGGCACGCGCGGCGGCGCGTCCGCACCACTGCCGCCGCCGCCCTCGCCGTCGGTCGGCGGGCGCGGCGGCGCCGCGCGCGTGAAGCCGGCGCCGTGCGGGCGCCCGATGGCGCCGAAGCCGCGGCCGCCGACGCCGATGGCGGCCAGTGTGCTTTTCAGGGCCACCCGCTTCTGCGCCAGCTCCTTAGCGGCCTTGGCCTCCCGCACCTGCGCCCGCTCCGCCTCCTCCAGCCTGGGACGATTTTGTTTGGGTGTTGATAGTGAATTATCAATGAATGAATGAATGAGTGTATGTGTGTGTGTGTGTGTGTGTGTGTGTGTGTGTGTGTGTGTGTTGTGTAGGAACAGGGGAACGGGATGATCGGAACTGCGTCATCAGGTACAATCAGCGAGTAAGTAAGCAAGTGCAAGTGGAATCACAGCATGAGGTGCCTTTGGTTGGAGGCAAGAGCTGCTGCAGGGTGCGCAGTGACAGACAGCAAACCCATGCTTGGTCGGTTGGTTTGGTTCGCTAGAGCGACAGCTAGGGCGGCACGACACGCTTGGCATCATCAGGGGGCCGTGCAAACGGGACACGCATGCACACGAACCATGCAGCACATGCATATACATACATAACTCGACTTCAAAATCACTCTTGCTCTTGCTCTCTCTGACTCACACACACAACCACACACATACACACACACGCACGCACACACGTGCCCACATGCACAACCAGATGCACCAGCACAACTGCCCACACATGTACACAACCGCACCCCAACCAAACGCACACACCTCTTCCGCGTGCCCCCCAGCTGCAGCAGCCGCTCCTCCTCTGCGCTGCGCTTGGCCTCAAACTCCTCCCTGGCGCGCTGGCTGATCTCGTTGAGCCGCGCAATGGCAGACTGCCGGCGCGACTCGAGCGGCCGCGCGCCTGGGAGCTCCCTGGACGCGGCGCGCCATTGTGGCGAACATGTGAATGTCGTGTGTGTGTGTGTGCGCGCGCGCGTGCGTGTGTGTGTGTGTGTGTGCGCGCGTGCGTGCAAGTCTGTGTATGTATGTGTTGAATTCATGATTAATCAAGTGCTTGTCATGCGAGCAGGGGTACAACATAGCATGCAGGACGTGCGCTTGTACATGCAGCACCAACGGTGCAGTTGCAAGTTCCAGGCCATCAGGGACAAGGCAACAAGTGCTGGACTCTCCTGTTTATTGTGCGGCCATGCTGATGGGACCCACAAGGGCTACTATGAGGCTGGCAAAACCGGAGCGTGGCGGCGCGGGGCGCGGGGCCGCACCTGCCGACGTCGTCTCTCTGCAGGCGCGCGCGCGCCGCGCCCTCCAAAAGGGCCCCCAGGTGCGCCTGATAGGGTGGGGGTGAGGACAGGGCGCCGGGGGTCAGCACCAAATGTGAGCCTCGGGCCAAGCTCTGCTGAGCTTCAGACCCCTGAAAGTGACGAGGTGCGGTGGACTGTGAGCCGTTCAGGCAGACTATCTCCGAGGTCCGTCCTGCGGCCAGCCGGCGCACCTGCACGGCAGCTGCCAGGAAGCTGTGGACCTCGGCGTTGACCAGCTTGATGCCATTTTTGAGCGCCGCCGCGCACACCAGCTTCAGCAGCGGCGCCTGCGCCAGCAGCAGCTCCTCCTGCACGCAGACCAAAAGGTGGCCAAACATGCGGGGCACGCGTCTGTTTCAAGCCCCTCCCGACAGTCAACGAAACTGAGCAATGATTCCACCGGGTGCCGCAGGCCCTTTGTAGCAGAAAATGTTGTGGCGCTGCTCCCAGGGGCGGCGCTTGAAACAGCCGCACGCTGTTTTGCCCCCCCCCCCCCCAAGGAGGGTTCAAAGGCTCCTCAAACCGTACAAATCGGGGCCCCCGGCCGCCCCTCCTGCCCCACTTGCCCCCCGCACGACCGCGTGCCTTGGCCGTGCCGGCGACCGTCTGCAGCTCCCGCCCCGCCGTCATGTCTTTGTCATTGACCAAGCCCTGCAGCACATCCATATGCTCCCCCTTGTTGCCAAAGAACAGATCCTCATCGCCAATCTTCTGCCGCTTCGCCGCCGGCCCGCTCGGCCCCGCAGGAGCTGGCGCCGCCGCCGCTGCCGCTGCCGCGGGCGCCGCGGGGGCGGGGGAGGGCAGCGCGCCGGCGGGCTGCGGGGCAGCCACGGGGCCCAGTGCGGGCCCAGCCGAGCCCGGGCGCTGCAGCTGGGCCGCGGCGGCGGCGGCGCGCTGCTGCTGCTGAGCGAGCATCGCCTGGACTTGCTCAGAGGACAGCGTACCAATCTGCCGCACCTGCGCGCCTTGCGGCTGCGCACCCGCGCCGACGCCGACGCCGACGCCCGGCGACGGTGGCCGCACCGCCTGCTGCTGCAGCAGCTGCTGTTGCCGCTGCTGATACTGCTGCAGAGTCATCATCTGCTGCTGCGGCTGCAACACCAGCATCGGCGCCGAAAGGTTGCCGGCGGGAGGGGTCACGGGGCGCTGCTGGTGCTGCGGCTGCTGCTGCAAGCGAACATGCGATTGCTGTTGCGGCTGCGGCAATTGCCGCTGGGGCTGCTGTTGTTGCTGCTGTTGGCGCAGCGCCTGTTGCTGGTGCTGGGGCTGCTGCGTCTGCTGCTGCTGCTGCGCCTGCGCCTGCTGCTGTGCCGCCTGCCACTGCTGCTGTTGCTGGAGCCTCTGGCGCTGTTGCTGCTGCATCGCCAACTGCTGCTGCAGGAGTTGCTGCTGCTGTGCTAGCTGCCATTGCTGTTGCTGCTGCTGCTGCTGCTGCTGCTGCTGCTGTTGTTGCTGTTGCTGCTGCTGTTGGTTGCCGCCCTGCATGGAGCGGTGCTACAAGCCGCCTGCCCAGAGCTGGCCGGCGCCTGAGAGGCTTGCAGCTGGTGGCGTCTCCGCAGCACTGGGCGGTACAGTAGTGCTTGCGCGGAACGAAGGCGGCCAGCCACACCCGTAACACAGCCCCACCGCACCAGCCCCCAAAACTTGATCACGTCTCTCGCAACAGGGGACCTGACAGACAATGGGACGAGCGTGGCCTACGGTGTTGCATGCGCCACTGCAGCGCTGGCGCTCGCGCCACCCCTGGAAGCAGTCGGCCCGAGCATCCGCCGCATAAGAGGCCTCATGGCATGCACACCTGCAGTTATCTCAAGCCCCTTGACGCGTCCTTCGAAGCCTGTACTGTCCTGGGTCTGCTAGATCGCGTTCAACAAAGCACGACGCCGGTTAGAGCTGCTGCAGTACTCCAAAGATGTAGCACAAAATACAGGCCACACGATAAGAATTCAGTTGAGGGTTCTCACACAGCCTTAATGAAAATGATCCAATCGCAATAGATCACATTCAAGCAATACAAAGCAGGTGACGATGACTTCATAGACGTGAATCTACTGGTGTGATTCAATGGCACTAGCTCCAGCGCGGGGGGCTTTGGCCGGTATGACATAGTGGGCTGCACTCCTGCTGGGACGCGTGGCGCAATGCAGCCCGTTGTGCGAGCATGCAGCATGTATGGCCACAAACTTGCCCGTACGCAATTCAATCATGAGCATCATTGTTGGGTGGAAACAGCAAGGATGGAGTCAGCAGACCCACGGCATAGAGGAAGCAAGCAGCTCAAGCTGCTTGCATATTTGCACGACAATGCACCTGAAGATGAAGCAGGCCGCCAAGACAAATGCACCGCTTATGATTCATGGATATGGAGGCTCTTGATTATCACATCAGCTTCTGATTCTCAATGATTAAGGTCGGATGATGATAAAGGCGTACCATCCAGCATGCCTTCTCATGTCACCTTGCCCCAACGCATGACTTCTGTGTAAAGCTGTGACACCGAGTCTTAACAAGAATGGCGTCTCGTGGGCCAGTGTAGCCTTGCCTGCAATGGGTGGCACTGGGCTTTTGACTTGGTCAAAGTTAGGACAGCATGCTGACGCAAGAGAGTGGGGCTTGAACCCTTTGATTCACATTCACCTTGTACCACATATTCCTATAAGTTTTTACTCGAACAGTGTGTGTTGGGAAAAATGTGCAGGGATGCCTGGTCTGGAGCAGGGTCTGCGGGTGTGCCTGCACCACTCACTTGAACGAGTGCCAAGCGCCACGGCCTCGACGCGGTGCGGTGCTTTTCCATACGTTCAAGTACTGGTTTATACAAGCAATCAACTCAACCATACACATCGCGCTGACGCTTGGTTTGGCACAGGCGCAGGCTACCGTACTGGAGGGCCATTCTAAACTATTCGGAGGCTCACGCAGCATATAAAGCTAGACACTTATCAATCGCATTGTCCCGAGCATCATGCCGGTGCCCATAAGCATCACCCATCCACAGGGCGCGGGCCTCGTTGCGGCCAAGACAGCTGAGCTTCCTACAGAAGGTCCGTTCGCTAGGATCGCTAGGCTAAAGAAGGAGCAGGAGGCTGCAGCGCAGCAGGCATTGCAGGCTGCACAGCAAGCGCAGCCAAGCAGCGGCGATGCGGCAGTGGTTCCCAGCCCGGTCTCCAGCACAGCAGGACAGCAGCAGGCCCAGCAGCAGCAGCAACAGCAGCAGCAGCAGCAACAGCAGGAGCCTGCTAGTAATGGCAGCAGCGCACCACCCTCCATACGCGTGCAGCACCTCGATTTTGCCTACCCTGGCCTGGGTGAGCTGCCGCCGGCGACCCTGGGGGCATTGAGAGGCTGACTGCGGCAGTGACGCCGCCACGTGCTGGCCTGCACCAGCACGCGCATGCAAGACAACCCCACAAGTACTGAAAACGCCATGCGAAGGCCAGACCTGGGAGATGATCAGCTTTATGGCTGTTGGCAGCCGCAGACCCCTGTGGCACACCTGTCTCCCCCTCCTCCCCCTTGCGCTCGCCCCATCAGCCCGTCCACCCCTCCCCGCCCACGCCTGCAAACCTTCTTGCCCCCCCTTCCCCCAGACGGTCGCCCCATCCCCGGCCAAGGGCCCCTCATAACTGACATGAACCTTGAGCTCGGCCCGGGCAGCAGGTGCCTGCTGATCGGCGCCAACGGCGCGGGCAAAACCACCCTACTGAAAATCTTGGGCGGCAAGCACATGGTGCCGCGGGTGAGCACAGACTGAGAAGGATAGCACAGCGCACACGCCTGGACACCGATAGCCTCGCCTCCCTGCGCCAGGGGCCCTTGCACCCACAGGGTGGAGCGCGGGTGCGGTGGTGCAGGGTACTTCCAGGAGGAGGGCCAGCGGCCGTGAGCTTCGGAGGCGGCGAAAAGCAGCCGGCGCGCCGGCTGCCGTACAAGTTTGCCTGCTGTTGCCACAAATTCTTTGGCTCGAGCCGCAATTGCTCGAGACCCGGTCGCACCACGCAGCAGCCGTGCCCCACCCCGCCCCGCCCC